ACAAATGTCCAAATTTTTTTCTCATTTCTGTTACCTGGTATTTTCCTTTCTTCCTTTTGAGCTCAGATAAGTATTAAAAATACACATTTGTCATATTTTTAATAAAGCTTTTTTTAAAATTTGAAATAGAGGATTGGACTGAATCTGCTTACTCTGCCATGTTTCAGAAGTTAACATGTTTAACAATGGTCATGTTTCTTGAGGAAACATCCCCAGAGAACCTGCATAGCCTTACTCTGGCTGATCATTAACAATGGAGATCCTTGGGTTTCATCTATGCTTTATTGAATCAAAATCTGTGGAAATTGTGTTAGAGAATATCTGTCTTAAATGAAGACCAAAAAGTGTGTGGCAAGGTTACAGGATACAAGATCTATGTAGAGAAAATCAACTGTGTTTCTGTACACTGAATAATGGGAAATTGACATTTAAAAAAGCAATATCACTTACAATAGCATTAAAAAATCCTAAATACTTAAAGATAAATTTGACAAGAGATGTGTAAGATCTATATAGAGAAAATCACAAAACATTGCTGAGAGAAATTAAAGACCTGAATAAATGGAGAACTATACCTTGTTAAAAAGTGAGTAAATTCAATATCATTAAGATGTTATTTCTTCCTCATGTTTATCTATAGATTCAGTGCAATCCAAACAGAAATTCTAGCTGGTGTGTGTGTGCGTGTGTGTGTGTGTGTAGACAGTGAGAGGCTGATTCTCAAATTCATATAGAAATGCAAAGAGTCTAGAATAGCGAAAACAATTTTGGACAAGAACAAAACAGGAAGTTAGATTTACTTGAGGTACTTTATATTTTTGTTGCTATTATAAATCGTGTCTTGAAAATTAATTTTGATTGTTGCTGTATGTAACAATGCGGTTGACTTTTGCATATTGACTTGAATACCATCACTGTAACTCTATCTTATTAATTTTTAAAAATTGTTTATAGATTCTTTAGGATTTTCCAGGTAGACAGTCCCCAAATATGTGAATAATGGCGGCTTGTTCTTCCTAGTTATACTCTCCCCCTTCTTCTTTCTTGTCTTACTGCACAGGAATGGAGCTCAAGTATGATATTGGACATCTAAGATAGCTGGAAAATTTTCTGAGAACTCCTAGTTACATTTCCTGGAATTTAATGCAGTGTGATCTCTTGCGTTCAGGGACTTCAGGGCTGTTGAAGGGGGTTCTGCAGTACATCTCTCTGCTGCTTGTGTGAAACCAAGACACTGTAACCAGAGATGGGAAACTTCCCTATTTTAAAAAACATTGTAATATTTGGCTCTTCTAACAAAGACTTTGTCATTACAGCTTACTAGTTCCTTCAGGTTTGTCCCTCTTACTGTCTTTTGCTAAGACAAGACAAATCCCTGCTTCATAAATCTTGCAGGAAAGTAGCATTTGTAATACAACCTTAAAATTTAGACTAACTCTTGCAAAAGCAAGACTGGTTATCACTTGTACTCCCGTTCTGTTCTAGCTAGGTACAAATAAGACAATCTCCTTTGAGGTAATTAATAATTCCCAAAGAAACATTGGCTCGCTGCTTTATTATAACACAACTCCTTTTTTTTGTTATTATTATTAAGGAAAGCAGTCGGGGTAACAGATGGGGAAAGCTTTAAGCCTGACAGTTATAAATAGTCTGGCTGTTTATTCCACAATATATTTGCAATTCTCTTTCTTTGCCATTCTGAAAGTTGGATCCCTGTCAAAATACTTTTCTCTTGACCAAGGATTACAAATCATTGCCAGTAGATTAGAACTCTAAAATAATGGAGGAATTTGATGAGGTTCTCTGAAAATTTTACTTATATTTTAGAGGATTGTCAACACAAACACCTGATCTTCAGAGAAGGACCTGTTTTCCAGGGATCAGATGGATTGGGGGAACTCTTTGAATGAATCAGCTGTCCCTAGTACTGCTAAGATTGCTCTTGTTTCTTATAATCAAAGTAATAGTTGCCTAATGATCACTGTGTTGCCATGCACTAGAGGGGACACAGAGACAGTTAACTCCTAACTAAAAAGACAGGCATAGAGAGAGAGCATTAGTTAAGTAGCAACAAAAGACTAGAACATGAAGTGACACAAGGCATTATATTGATGATAATGTAAGTTAGAAATTCAATTTGGTTGTTGAAAGCACATTTGCTGTCATACTAAACATTACATCCAACCGACCATCAGAGTCTTTTTAGTGTTCAAAATGTTACACACAGAGCAAATATATTATTTTTGCTTAAAGAACTTTAAATGGTATAAATTTAAGGATAACCTATCAAATTATCAAAGACTTTCCAAAATGGCAGTATCCCCACTGTCAGGGAGGGTATGGAGAGACAGAAATCTTTAAATACTGTTGGTGTTTGTGTACAAATTCCTACACCCATTCTGGAGGGCAATATGGCCATAGCTATCAAAATGTTAAATGTGCATCTCTTTGTTCTGGCAATTCTATTTCCATTAATGGTGGGCCAGACAATTTGGATTCTCTCTCCCCTCCCCCATCTCCCTCTAAAAACAACTAGAAGATCAAGGCAAAATATTTTCAAAGCCTTTTTTGAAGGCAAAAGAGAACTACCAGAACAGTGAGAATTACAGGGCTAAGATCCAAGAGAAGAAGGAAACCAAGACAATCAGACTGTGGGGGTCTCTTTATCCTCAGCGATACCACCTTTTTGGTAGATACCACAGAGAAGATGAAGTTCAGTAGAGTTAGGGAAGAAACGTAGGATTTCATGGGATGCCCAAAGAGAAAGGGCTCTAGTAACCTCCTAAACTTCAGGATGGGACCCAGGGAGGTGAGGACTGGAAATGCCGATCCTCACAATGCCTGAAGCTCAGCTTCAGTTTCTTCTTCAGTTATCAATTTGATTACAACAGTTCTTCTTCACTGGGATTCCAGGAGATGATCTATAATGTTCTAAGGCATCAGTTGTGTATGAGGAATTAATATCTCCTTTATATGTAGGCTAGATAGTACAAGCTATATACCCTTCTTGGAAAAATTAAGAAGCTAGTTACTCAAATGACTTGGTACAGGGCTTAATTCTCTGCCAGAATCTTAGCTGAGAGTGGTAAGATTAGGAAATTCTAATGCTCCCTAGTCACCAGCCAGAAGCTAGAGGAAGATAATATCTTTTCAGGACTTCAAACGACCACTCCATCATTATATACACTGACCAGCACTCAGTCAAAAATAACCACACATATCAGGAGACAACACAATCTGATAGAACACCAAGATAAACGATAGAAATGCCATAGAGAGCCAGAAAGTAGAACTATTTGGCAGATTTTTTTTTTATGTCAAAAAGATTTTCAGTGTTCTTTTTAAAAAATGATTGAGCAGAGGCCTGGAAACTCTAAAAAATCTAATGGGAAGTCTGGAACTGAAAAGTTATAATGATAAATTAAGAACTTAATAGAATTGAGTAGATCATTAGGTACAGCCAGAGATAAATTTAATAAACTGGAAATTAAATAATTCTAAAGAAAATACCCATACTGAAGCATACAGAGACAAAATATAGAAACGAGCATCAGAGCTAAATAGGATGTAGCAAAAGTTTATCTATCTGGGTGAAAAGAAGTGGCAAAATGGAGCTTAGGCAATATTTGAAGATGTAACGACTGAACATTTTCCAAAAACTGATGAGTGGCATTCATCTACAGATTCAAGAAGCGCTACAAAGCCCAGGAAGGATACATGCAAACCACACCTGAGAACATCATAGTAAAACTGCTGAAAACCAAAATTTAAAAAAAAAATCTTAATGCAGTCAGAGGAAAAGACATATTACCTCAAATGAGCAGTAAGACACTAAGCTGACTTCACAACTCTGTCTTCCACAGAGACAGTGGAAGACAAGAAACAATAGAATATCTTCAAAGTGCTTAAAGAAAGTGTAGGAAAATTGTTCATAAATGCATTCAAGGATATTAATTACATTGTAATTTGTTGAATGAAAAGTTGGAAGACTTTCTCCCTCTGTCCCTCCCCCGTTAGCTCGCTCTCTCTCAAATACATAAATAAAATCTTGAAAAAAAAAAAAGAAAAGAAAAGTTGGAAGCCATTTAAATATCCAACAAGAGGGACTGGTTAAAAATACTTACTTCATCTTCAGGTGATGGTATGTAAAAATGTTGCAGGTATGTTTTCAAGTGAAAAAAAAAAAGCAGGTTAAAAAATAATATAAGCCTATGCTCTCATTTATATTAAGCTTAATATAGCATTTACTATTTAAATATAATTTCACATAGTGTTTTAGTGTTTAAATATGATTAGGTATGGAAGGATAGGCACCAAAATAATAATAGTGATCTTTGGGTAGCGGAACTATGTGAGAATTTTCTACTTTCTTTATAATGTTTTTATAAAGACCATGTATTATCAAATGAATAAATGCCCATTTTTAAGAAGGAAACAAAACCAATCAATACTTTAAAGTTTGTGCTTTCTGTCTGCCCTGGGTCCACTGTGGATGTGCAATCACAGATATTATTTAGTGGATCCTATTACCTCTACTGAAAGAAAGTCTGCAAAATAAGGGTCAGGTAAGACTCCTAGACCCAGATCCCTTAATACTCTGGTCTTCCTACTAAATCTAGGGAAATCAGTGAAAACAATGTCCTTTGGAGTCCTAAGGTGACTCTCATTTTTTAAGAAGCATCAGTCAGAGGTCACCCTTCTCTAATTTAGAGAAATTATTTTTTTTAAAATAAGAAAATTAAGATTACCATTAAGACTAGGTTAAATTTTTAAAAAATTTTTTTCCTGCTAAAATATTAGCCTAAATTAGAATATAAGCTGCTCCCTAAACATAAGAAACTACCAGTGTTCTTGTTACTGAAAGAACAATTACTGGTTAAATTGGAGTTCCCTGGGTCCAGTGCAGTACTGTTGATCGCTTACATTGGCAACATGTTGTGCATAATTTGGGGGTAATGAAGCATCCTTCAGGGTAATATTAGTCTGAATTGTTTTTATAGGCCGAGAGATCCGTCTGCCCCTCCGAATCAGAGGGGAAGGAATGGGACCAAAGATTCACTTCAACTTTGAAATGCTGGACATTGGAAAAGTTTTCATTGGATCTGTACATTGTTATGAGGTAAGCACTAGAATTGTTCATTGAGACTCAAACAGTACTTAGCTTTTTAGGTTTACTTTATTTTGTATATGTGTGCATTGATAGAAAATGTGCACCATCACACCCATTTGCCATTACTCATTCTTGGACTCTGGAATGATCTGGCTCTTCCTTGTCTCCCTAGCCATGTTTAAGGTCTCCCCTCTAAATTTCCTCAAGGCAATGAAGTCATACTTTAATTGGTTTTATCCTCATCTTGTGGATTGCAAAGGGGAAAATCATAATCTTCTCCCATCCTTTTATGTTGTTCTCTGACAACATAAATCCTACAGACCAGAGGAGAGAGAAATGTTCACATTTTCCAGAAGGTCCTAATGAGGATAGCTGTTTTCACACTTCAGTGTTTTCTCTGAATGCACTAGTCTCCAATCCATGATTAAAAACCAGTCATTGTACTTTCTGGAACTTTCTTTTAGAAATTTCCCTGCTTTGTCTTTCCAATTAGATAGAAAATGATCCTTTTACAAGATGTACTCACGGGTTCTTCAGAATCAAAGTTACTTCACTGTCACTTCACCACTAACTTTGTATCTTGGGTACTTTTTTTTTTTTTTTAAATCAAATTGTAACCATTGATTCCTAAACTTTAAATGTTTGTATTTCTCTAAAGGTAGTAATGAAAGCAGTTACTTAATGAGAGAAAAATAGGTGTCAGGTTCCATGCTTCCTCATGTGTGCACGTCTGTCTACGTGTGTTTCGCTTCCAGTCCTTACAAAAGTGTGAAGGTAGGTTTTATTGTCCCTGCTCTACAATGAACAAGAAGAGGCAGAGAGTGGTTCATACCATCAGCAACATCACCCTTCATGTATGCTGAGTGCAGTACCAGTACTTTTACATTCAGTAGTTGGCTTGGCCCTCACTAAACCCTAGGGGGTAGGTGCAATGACAGTTCCCTGGCACTAGAGAAGTTTTGCCAGTTAAGGTAATGCTAGATTCTGTAACAAATACAAAGACCCATACTCTCTGAGACGTGACAAGCCTATTTCCCTGCTTACGTAAAGTCTCAGGCAAGGTTACCTGTCAGCTGACAGCTCTCTGCCAGCGGAGCATCTGGCCCCAGGCTCCTTCCTGCCCGTAGCTCTGCCACCGCCTCCCTCTGCCCCATGTGGCCTGCAAGATTGCAGACTCACATGTGTCACGTGGATGGGAGGGGAAAGAGCACGGAGAGAGGTATCGGGAAGATCTTTCGTAGCAGTTGGCCCTATCGGTGGCCCACGCCGGTCTGTTCGCGTCCCATCAGCTGTGCATCGCTGCATGAGTATCTGGGAAATGCAGTCTCATTGGGAGCGCAGGAGAGAGAGGAAGTGGGTTCAGTGAAGGGCAACCCTGACCCTCCCACGTCTGTTACGTAACTCGGCAAAGTCATTCAGCTAGTAAATGTGAGTGAGCCCTGGGTTACTAAGGCCCTGTATCCTGGGAAGAGAAGGTTTTTTGATCCCCTTTCAGTCCTGGGGGTCTCACCATAAGCAAATCCAGCCTGCAGCCAGCTCAGCTCTCAGCCCAGCCTAACCTTGGCAGGAGAGACAACAAGAGGGCTGCTGCTGGGAGCTTCCTACTGTGTCATTTATCCCCACATCCACTAAAGTAGCTGTGGCTTAAATGGGGCAGCGTGGAAGGTAAATAGAGATGTGAATGTCGTAATGAGATGGAAGACCCATGGAGCATGATTTCAATGAAGAACACGGTCTCATGACTATCAGGCCCTGAAAAATGGCTCAGCTGCTCTGTTGCATTGTCTTTTGCATTTTGAAAAAAGGGTCACTTTGGGAGGAAAAACATGTACATCACTTCTTACGAAATTCACATTCCGCCCATAATTTATCCAGTGTGAATTTCCCTTACATCTCACAGACTGTGTCTTGTGGATGCCACATCAGAAAAGGACCTTTAGTTCTGATGCAAAATGGATAAGTTTTCCCTGAGCATAATAATAATTTCTTACAAATGTGACCGAAGGGCGTTTGAGGCCACCACTTCTCACCCTCCTAGATTTGACCAGTAAAGTAAATCACAGACAGCTAAGTAAGTGTTAGATGAGCTGCTGTGTCAGATCAGACACTTTGGAGGGCTGCGCCTGGGCAGAGAAGGACATGGTAAGGTGCTTCCAACAGGAATATTTTGCACTCTCTGCGCATTTAGTGCTGATGCCTCATTGCATCTCTCTTTCCATTTATTATGTTTACCTACTTGAGACCAATTTGAATAACTACCTATTGCCCTTAGTCATTGCTGAGCTTAGCAAACATGTAAAAAGTAAACCACAGCTCCAAGAGTGTACACTCTTCCCCAGTGTAATTAGAAGGAAAACAAGGTGAAGCTCTACTATAAATTTTCTCCTCCCCAAGGAGTTGCACTGCAAAGGTCAGGTAATCAAAAGGTCTCAGAATTTCATCCCAAATGACTTGCCGGATTCTTCATACACATGAAGATGCTCCTTTCCCAGGGGGAGAGGAATGACATGCATGTTCTCGAAGTTGGAAGACCTGGTGTCTTAGACAAAATCCAGGTAAACCAAAAAAATAAAAACGCAATCTGTGCATCTCCATAGAGGGAAAAACAATTCCCTTTGAATGGAATTCCCTTTGAATTACCACTAATGTCTTTGAGTTGCCTTGAAGTTCCCACTAACATGTTGCAGTCCCTTCTTAAGCACAGGCAAATTTCAAACCTGTTCTGTGTGGTGCTGAGAATAGAGGTAGCGATCGCTGGTGTTGATGAGCACTCTTTGGGAGGCATCCTCATCTAAGAATTACATAAATTAGTTTCATCTTCACAGCAATCTGAGAAGTTGGTGGTACTTAAACTTTGCAGATGGAAAAACTGGGGCACAGAGAAACAAAGCGGGTTTCCCAAGGTCACACAGCTAGGAAGTCAATGGTAGAGCTGGGATTTGAGCCCAGGCAATTTGGCTTCTGGGTCCCTGGCCATAATCACTTTCTACATGGTTTGCTTAAAAGGAATGAAGGATGAAGAATAAATTCTATGACCAGGGAACTTAAAACTGAGTGAGGGAGATGGAAAATGAATGTAAAAAGATGAATAAAATATCAAGCAGCAATTAGTTATAGATCTCTTTTGGCACATCATCTTTCTTCTCTGGGAAGAAGTGGTGGTTTTCCTCTGTGAAGGCCCCTCACTCTGTTCTACACATGCTCTTGATTCCTCCTCCTTTGCTTCTCAGCAGGCAACCTGAGCTGGTGGACACCCCACATCGACCCAGACCCCACTCCCTTGGTTACCTAGCCCCCTTCTCTTTCTCCAACAAACATGTGGACCAGGGACTGAGCATACATTATCGCATTTGGTATAAATATCCTGGGTCTCCTCCACCATACTTGCCGCAACTTTGCCACTCCCACTCTCGCTCCTCACCCTTAGTCCTCTCCGAACAGGAATCTCAAATAATCAACCACTATTTCCTCCGTACCCACTCACTCCCTGAACATTTGGACTCTGGGTTCTGCAGTAACACTCCACTGGAGTTCCTTTCTTCTTCAAGGGCAGGGATGGCTTTTAATTAAAAATCAAAAATCTGTGACATTCTCTCAGATTTTGTTCCCCTTCAGCTCTGCCCACATTCAACCCCTTCTGGAAATTCTCCTCCCTTCGCTTCTTCTAGGTTCCTGACATTGCCCCGCATACCTTTCTGTACCTTTCTTCCTAATCTCCTGTGCTTTTTCTCCTTGGTGCTTTGAGTGTAGGTCGAAGGCAGTATGTAAACAGAAGAACATGCTGTTCACCTGTTCAGGTGTGAGCACTGGCAAGAGATAAAGACTGCCTTAGAAGCCCAGGAACAGAGCTTTGTGGTTAAAGCGCAGGCTCATCAGACAGGTCCCTCGGAAGATAGGAGCAGGGGCGATGGACTGAGCCAGGTGTGGACAACTCTGAATGCCAGGCATGAGCTTTTTACATACACACACCTAGTGTGCAAGCAAATACGGGCCTGTGGTATATAGAAATGAAACTTTTCTGTAGTAAAACAGTTGCTTACACAAGCATCCCCGAACAATAGAGTTGTATCCATGCAATAGGGTTTGAAGTGACAGTATCCCAATAGAATGAAATCTAATAGCACAACAAAGAGAGTCTTTGTCCTCTGGAATCCACAGCGATGTCTTGTTCACATTCTCCAGGCTACTCTTAAGAACACAGGCATAGGTAGTTCTTGCTCCTCTATTCTGACTTCTTATTTTTCAGCATGCCACTTATTCTCAACCTTCTCATGCATATAAGAGAAATACCTACCTTCCCTCAGTTACCCTACAGAGAATCAGAACAAGGCATTTTATGGATCCTTTTCAGTAGATGTAATTACAGTCAATATTTATAACTATGGTACATGTGACAACTTTGTTACAAAGAGGATACTAAAAACACAAAATTACTTCTGCATTGGGTTTCTTATCTTCAGACCTTCAAGGCAGAAGACTGTTCATTTCTCCCCTGGAGTTCTTCTCTGGCTTTAATTCCTGCAGCTCTCTCTGTGTTGGTATTAAACAGTACAGCTACGTGTTAATATGAAAATAAATCAGATGTCCATGCTCTATCTTTGCCTTCTTGGCTTTCTATTGATATAGGCAATACTATCCAACAAAGGCAGCATTGACGCCCTCTTCAACGTGATCCCTCCAACTTCAGCTTTGGGGACCTGCTTTGTTTTCAGCCCCAGGGAAGGCATCATCGAACCAAATGGAGTTCAGGCGGTCCAGATCTCTTTCAGTTCTGCCATTTTGGGGCACTTTGAAGAAGTATTCCTGGTCAATGTCAATGGTTCCCCTGAGCCTGTGAAATTGACCATTAGGTAAGATATTATCTGTAACTAATGTGGAAGCTAACTGAAGCTTTTATCTACTGCTTTCTTAAACTTCAATACAGGTTCATGTCTTGGATGTCCATAATTGTCTTTGTTGGTAGGAACACATCAAAATAATGGAATGTTTTAAATTTCCAATGGCATTTACATACTGAGCATGTGTAACTTATTATTGTCATGTGGATAAAGATGCTTTTGAAGATCTAGTTTTTGTACAAACTACAGCTTTATAAAATAAGGACTTAAAACATTAAGCTAGTTTCCAGTTATTCTCTGTTTTAGGATATTCAGGGGAAAAAATCATTATAATAATACCTAGATAAAATTATCTTCTGGACCAGGCTTTAGCTATTATCCCCATTTCTCTAAACTTTCATCTTCCATTTTTACTTTAAGGAAAATTTTTAAATGCTCATACCTATAATACCTCCAGATATTGTAAAAGAGTCTACTTAGAGCATCAGTCATCCAAGGCTAGACTTGCAGCTTTTGTGCTAGAAGTCCTTTGATGGCTTCTCCAGCTATTTGTGATAATTGAAAATCATTAATAGCAGAGTTTGCCCTCGGGATTTAAAAAAAAAGTACTCTATGACCAACCCATTGGGCAGATCTACAACTTTGGTTCCCAGTGCTTAGAAAGATCATGTCTTCAGAACACATTGCAGATCCTATTTGGATTTTCATAGCAATAGGTTGTTAATTACGATGGCAGTCTCTCTTATTATGGTTACTCATAGGTCTCCCTCAGGGTCTGAGGATAACTTAGACATTGTGGTCTGAAGAATCCTAGGAAAATTTGTTGGTCTCAGAATATCTACTGGAAATTCAGAATCTCAAGAGAAGCTTAAAGGTTATTGCCACTTCTTTCAATTCTTCCACCTAAGTGTCCCTGTTATGGAGTGAATTGTGTCTTCCCAAATTCCTATATCGAAATTCTGATACCCAATACTTAAGAATGGGACTGTACTTAGAGTTGGGCTTTTAAAGAATTAAGGTAACATGGGGTCATGTGGGTGGGCCTTAATGCAATGTGACTAGTGTCCTTTTAAGAACAGGCACACAGGGGCACCTGGGTGGCTCAGTGGTTAAGCCTCTGCCTTCGGCTCAGGTCATGATCTCAGGGTCCTGGGATCGAGTCCCGCATCGGGTTCTCTGCTCTGCAGGGAGCCTGCTTCCTCCTCTCTCTCTCTCTCTCTGCTTGCCTCTCTGACCACTTGTGATCTCTCTCTGTCAAATAAATAAAAAAAAAAACCTTGAAAAAAAAATTCTAAGATCCTTATATATAAAAAAAAAAAAAAAAAAAAAAAAAAGAACAGGCACACAGATAGGAAAATACCCTATAAAGACATAAAGAGAAGATGGCCATCTACAAGCTGAGGAGGGAGTCCCTCAGAAGAAGCTAACCCTGCTGCCACATTGATTTTGGACTTCCAGCCCATAGAGCTATGAGGAAATAAATTTCTGTTGTTTAAGCTACTCAGGTTGAGAGAGCCTGGCACAATCATAAACTTTTTTTTTTTTTTTTAAGTCTCAAGACTTATCTGAACCATTCAGAAGGCATTTATATTTTCTTCCATAATACATCTATGTTTGTGATAATTGAAAAAAAAATCAGTGTTGCTTTCTAAATATTTGAATAATATTTACTCTTCAAGAAGATGCACCATGTTCATCCTGGCCCACAGTGGACATCCTTCAGTGATAAAAAGAACATGAGGAGGGCAGGAGTATTTTTCACATTATGTGAGCTCTTGGTCACCTCCCACCTCAATAACAATTCACATTTCCTGACAAGCAATGGAGGTCGTTATCTGGAGAAGCAGGAAGAATAAACCTGCAAATGCAACCTCTGTCTCCCTTTCAGAGATTGTCTGATCTTCCAGGGTCCTCAGTAAGTTCCAGGAGATCAGCTCTTCAAAGTCCCAACTGAATAAGGTCTTCCAACTTCCTGACTTCAAGAGGTATCACTCAGCCTCTTGAGTATCCTCCACAACATCCAGCATCATTGATGGGCCTCCATCCAAAACGGGGAAGACAAAACCTTAAAACTCTGCTCTTACAAATATTTAAGATAAAAAAATAATCACCCTATTTGAGGGCAAGAATAATATATATAATAATATAGTATAAAATGACCATTAGTTTACTTTTCATGTAGGAAAAAGGTAAATACTTGCCAAGACAGACCATTGTCCTTCAGGTTGAATAAGAAAACCCATCCCAGTTTCATGTGTCTGCTCTCTAATTAAGTGCAGCCTAATAATTAATACTGCATTTATTGACCCACATACATACACATTGCAGCTCTATTAGGAATACATGTGTATTTTGGATATTCACTTAAACTTTTTTTTTTTTAAGATTTTACTTACTTATTTGAAAGAGAGAGAATGAGAGACAGCATGAGACAGTGTAGGGTCAGAGAGAGAAGCAGACTGCCCACTGAGCTGGAAGCCTGATGTGGGGCTTGATCCCAGGACTCCAGGATCAGACCTGAGCTGAAGGCAGTCACTTAACTAACTGAGCCACCCAGGCACCCCTTCACTTAAACTTTTCTTGAGTACCTCCTACATGCAAGGTTGTATATTAGGTACAGTGACTGGTGAATTTGAGTTTGTTAGACATTCCTGTTGCATGAATCCTATACTGTCTTAACCTTTGGCTCTGTGAATAAATTTTCCAAATTTAGGATGTGATTGCCCATTCTCTCAAAATTCCCAGACTGACTAAAAAATATAGTGAAATGACAAGGGAATTGAAAGGCTAAACTAAGAAAATATCCATTTAACATAAAGAAAGGCAATAATGGAGAAAAAGAGGAATGAGATGGCATTAAGACATAAAGAACAAGGAGTAAAGTATAATACATGAGTCCTACCTTATCAATAATTATATTAAATGTAAATATATTTAACACTTCAATTAAAGGCAGAGATCGGCAGAATGGGCTTTTAAAAAACCCACAAAACACAATTCAACTATATTTAGATCCAAAAATGTGAATAAGTTGAAACTAAAAGGGATGGGAAAAGATATACTAGGCAAACAGTAACCAAAAGAAAGCTGTACTAATATCAGACAAAATAGACTTTAAAATAAAAATTTTTACTTGAGACAAAGAACATTTTATAGTAACAAAAGAGTTAAGCCATTAAGGGAATATAACAATTATAAACATATATGCACCGAACAGCAGAGCCCCCAGATATGTGAAGGATAAACTAACAGAACCAAAGAGAGAAATGAGAATAGATTTGTGGTTGCTTAGGGCAGGGGGTGGAGGATAGAGCATGATAGAGCTATGATATGTATCTTATCCACATTAATATTCTGTGCCTTTGGTTTGGTGCTGTGTCTGCTCTGCCTCATTCATTGGTAGGAGTTTGGTGATAAGTTAACCACAGCAACATTTGCTCAAACCCAGTGGTTCAAATCTTGAAAAAGAACTCTAAGAACCACTGTGATAGACCATCATCTCAAAGTTTCTTTAAGTGCTAGATCCTGTACTTGATTTAATGCCATTTTACGGTTTTTGGACTTAACCACCTCCCTAATTCATGACTGCTACTCTGAATTCGCTGGACTCCCTATCCACTCTCCCAATTTGTATTCCTACTTCCAGAGGCTGTGTCATTGGACCTACCTTCCATTTTAACGTTCCTGCTCTGCACTTTGGTGATGTTTCCTTTGGTGAGTGTTTTTCCATTTGAAGTTAAAAATTGAGTGGAATTAGTTTTCCTTCTACATGGAAGGAGGAAGGTTTACAAAGAACCTCTCCTACCATTTTTTTTTTTATAGGTAGCAGCTAAATGGATCTAGAAATGTTCTCTCCTTTCTCTGCAGCAGTGCATTTTGATGTCATTTCCATTTATATGTGGAAGTTATAACCATGTCCCCGGCACTAAGAGCTCTCAGGCTGTGGTCGCCCAGGCTCTTCCAGCAGTGGAAAACTGGAAAGCCTTAGACTTCACACTCCTATCTGAGTGTTCTGAACACTCCATCTATCTATCTACCATCAGATATATATATATTTTTTATTCTAGAGAGAGAGAGAGAGAGAGAGAGAGCACAAATGGGAGGAGTAGAGGGAGACGGAAAGGTTCTCAAGCAGACTCCACACTGATCAGGGAGCCCCGTACCCAGCTCAATCTCATGACCCTGAGATCATGACCTGAGCCAAAAGCAAGAGTCAGATGCTCAACTAACTGCACCACCCAGGCGTCCCCTGAACACTCTATTTATGTGTAGATTCTGATTTGCCAGTCTGGCTACACAGCAACCTGTGCACAGAGATGCTTTCAAGTTTCAAGTGAATTCAGTGGTGGTTTGACTCAGGTATTCTATCACTCCAAATGGAAGATGTCTATATTTTTGTGTTGTCTTCTTGCTCAGTTACTTCCCTGAGTCATTTCTTCCTGTCTCAGCATTTCCAATAATAAAAATGACAGCATTAGCAGTGAAAGTTTCCACTTATTGGTTCCATCTTATATTCTAATCACTGCTAAGTGGATTACATATAGTACTACATTTAAACCTTTTGGCAGTCCTTTGAGGAGATGCTATTTAGGATTTCCATTTTGGAGCTGGAAGAACTGAGCATTCGAACAGTTAAATAACTTCCCATGGTCACACAGCAGTGGCAGAATGAGTATTTCAAATGAGATCCGCCTAAATCATGCACAGTAAATGGGGTAATGTTGCCTCAAAGGGGCAAAAATTGTTTGTTTGGGTTTAAAAAAAAAAAAGCATAGATCTTATCAATATTTGTGGTCCTCCAAAGTTCAGTCCTATCACAGAATCTTATTCCTTAGTATTTAATTTTCTCATTAGGGAGAAATTAATCTAACTTAAATTATGTTTAATGAATTGATTTCATGGAAAATTAATTCATCACAGTGGTTCTTTGAGGAGGTGATAATAATTTAGAAAAGGCTGAGAAACCCTAGTCTGAATCCATAGTCCACAGTCCTTTCCATTTTTCTTTTGTTTCCTCCATTTTGACTTTCATTTCTTTTGCCTCAAGTAGGCCCATCTATCTGGGGAAAAGTTTTTCTTCACAATGTATCTTTTCTTTACAAAAAGCTGATTCATAATTCCTTTATCAGTTGCTTTAACACTTAACATTTCCTAACATGTAAGAAAATCTGTATAAATGGAGTTCAATGTCTCTTAATTACCATAGAATATGAAAATGGCTGGAGAAATTTTTACAAATTTATTATGCATTTTAAGTCATAGAGTTTTTTTTTTTAATTTTATTTATTTATTTGATAGAGACAGAGATCACAAACAGGCAGAGAGGCAGGCAGAGAAAGAGGGGGAAGAGCAGGCTCCCTGCTGAGCAGAGAGCCCGATGCGGGGCTCGATCCCAGGACCCTGAGATCATGACCTGAGCCGAAGGCAGAGGCTTTAACCACTGAGCCACCCAGGTGCCCTAAGTCATAGAGTTTTTGAAGGGAAGTAAAAGTGACCTACAACTTGAAAATTGTCTGATGGCCAACTATGACAGACATACTCTCCCAAGGGTAATTGTGACTGATCCACCATAAGAGGTGAATTACTTACCCAAAGATCTATGCAGTTATCCTCCAAACAGCTCACCTGAGTCCATAGAGAGGTGTGGGAAACTGATGCATGACAGCGTCGTATCCTTCCACAGGCATTTAAATATGAACTCTAACATGGAATATTTGGAAAATGTGCCCACTGTCATATTGCCTTGGAGGCAGAAAGCAGAATCTAAATAAGCACCTCAGTCATTCCAAGGAATCTCATTCTGATTCATTGTCTAGAAGCTGTCTTACTGTTCACTGCTCAAAGGTTAATGTCAAAACTATACCAATGATAAGCCAATTTTTGAGCCCCAAGAATATCTGAGTCTAAAATTTAAAAAGCACCCAAGCCCCTAATAGTACATTTCAACAAAATATGGCAAACAGGAAGTGTATGTTTGTGCCTAAGATGCCACTGATTTATTCAAAATGCTGTATTTGATATTGGCAAGCTCTGGCTAACACAGTGGATAAAACCATGTATGCATACTCTAAAGCTAGGTAGGTTTTTATTCCCCCATTAATGTCTTCCATTTGGTCTGTTGCTATCCCTAAGTATACAAGAAAGGCCATTATTGGGTAATTAATTCATTGTTTCCTTGAGCTATAGAGATAATAATCAATAGCTATTTCTCATGGTTGGTCCAGCTAGAAGTTTTGGTAACTAGCTTAGGTGAAAATTATGAACAGCTTATTTTTCTTTTATTGTATAACATCTTATTGGGCCATTTGGTGATAAGGCAGCTAGGCAAGAGGTGGGAGGACACTGCAGACCCATGACCCAAGATTCCTCAGGGCTGAGATAGGAAAACTTATCCCTCCTAAGTCCACCTTCAAAATTCAAGTCTCATTTCTTTTAGTCTGTATATAGATTCCTTAATCTTCTCTGCAGTGTGGCAGAAAGTGTTATCAAAAACATACCTTTTTGCTTGCCAACAGGACATCTAGGGCTATTTCATTTTCAAAACCAATTAGGCCAGTTAATTCAAGCTACATGGCTGTGCTTTTGGATTCTGCACCCTAAAGCCAAAGGCAGAGATAATTTTATGATACAAATTTCAAAATTATTTTATGATAATATTTTTAAGTCCTGAAGTTGGAACTAGAGCTCTCTCATGACTCCTACTGAAAGTATCATTATTTATTTCTCTAGAAAGATTGGCCTCCCATCACAAAGAAACATCATCCATGATGTTTCATCCATCCTGATTACTATCTCACGTGTGCAATCAGGGCTTTGATGAGGCAGACAAAGGTAAACATGTTATTGGGTCAGGGATGAAAGAATAATAAAGATGCATAGAGTTCCAGATGTAAGAGACATTAACTGTTACAGGAATGAGCCAGGGACTGGAAGAGTTTTCTTCCAAGATGACTGGCATATTGGATGGAGTAAACAAGGTTTGCAGAGACTTGGAGTGTTGGGGAGTACATTGAGCTAACTAGAGTTGATAATATTGTCCCTCTATTGGCACTAAGGCCCATTCTTGAAGAGGTGTCTGTTACAGGTTAGTGTTAGAGACAGGGCCTTTATTTGCTTAGAGACGAAGATTCTAGATTTAGCATCAGGGCCTGTTGAGATTGATGGTGTTAGGTCATTATTAATATACTGAAGTAAACGAGAGGTATTAGTCCTGTTGGTTGGCATCTGAAATCTTAAATGAAATTTAAAGTATGGCTATAAATATTTTAATGGTAGGATTGGATGTTAGAGGACATATCTAATAATTAATTACATTGACTGAAGCTACAGTAGCATGGGAGAGTCAGATTATAGAATTTGGGTGGTGATTGTCCCTGAAGGAACACTGGAGCTTTGATAAATCCTCAGATCCATCAAAGAGTAAGTAACAACTAATGCCAGATGATAGGCCTGAAGGGGCAGGGTCTGTATCTGCACACCCACTATTTGTCAGGAGCTACAAGAACATGTTAAATGAGAATAAGGAGTTTAGAAGGCTTCAGGCACTCCGTGGATCTGACCATTGGGTAATTTGGTCAGAAATTAAGACCTCAGAAATTAAGACCGAAATTAAGGTCTGAGGACAAATTTGCTGGGATAAATATAGGGATTTTTAAAAAGCAACATGGTAGTTGTCTTCCATGGTCCAGGTATGAACTGGTCATATTTCACTCAAAAAGAAATATTTAGGGGCGCCTGGGTGGCTCAGTGGGATAAAGCCTCTGCCTTCGGCTCAGGTCATGATCCTGGGGTCCTGGGATCGAACCCCGCATCGGGCTCTCTGCTCAGCAGGGAGCCTGCTTCCCCCCCTCTCTCTGCCTGCCTCTCTGCCTACTTGTGATCTCTCTCTCTCTGTCAAACAAATAAAATCTTAAAAAAATATATTTAAATTGACTTTAGGAGGGTATAAAGTAGGGTGTAAATTAATTGTAATTGTCTCTTAGAATCTTAATTGCAATGATTATAGAAAGTCTTACAAAGGTTAGCAGAAAAAAGTCATAGAGAGCATGAGGAAAGCCCTACACCCTGTAGTGTTAGGAGTTGGTGTAAGCAGAAGCCCGGGGGGTAGCACTTGTATTCGTAACGAGCCTGCAGTCCTTAATAAAATAACATCCTCTTCTTCCGTCTCCTTAACAAGCAGTGTGGGGTCTACAGGTAGTTGTGCGAGGAATCGTTCTAGCTAGGAGGTTATAACTGGCTTTATTCTCGGAAAAACTTTTAGTTTCAGGGAAATAGTCTGAGCCGGTCGTTTGGAAGGACCCATCTGAAACTTTACACAAACCATTTCCAGAGCACACCTGACGTTGTAAGAGTGCTTCTCCCCCAAATGGTCAAGTGTAATTAGGGTGAGGCATCTATAATTGCAAGAATCCTTGCTGGGAGAGCTCAGGAGTTGAATGCAGCAGTTCCTGACTGTGAAACTGACTTTGGAGCAGTTCCCCTGGAATTGCCAAGAGAACCCGTCAGGTCCACTTCATCAGGCAATTCTTTTTCCATAACAGATCTCTTCCAAGTAGATTGGCAGGTGGTATCACAAAGGAGAGACAAACGTGTTTCATCCAGCAGCCCCGATGTGTCGACAAAGGCTCAGTCATGGGGACCTGGAGAAGCAGATGTGGTCACAATACCCCCTGCAGTGACGTAGGAACCAGTCCCGAGACCAGCTGTGTTTTACTGCAGTAGGGTTCGAGGTGGAAAGAATAGCGTTGGCATCTAGTAGAAATATGCCTGTTTGTTCTTGTTTCGTTCTGAAAGTGATGGCAGATACAGTGGCCACCTCAGGAGTCCAAAATTAGAGCTCAGTTTATAGCTTGCCAGACAAGGAGGATCCACATCTCTTAGAAAATGACCAGGAGTCTCCCAGAACTGAATGTAGGAAGGCTAGATTTAACACAACAAAGTAGCTTTGTCTAAGGGAGGTAAAAGCCGGTGTGGCAGTCTCTGGCTTGCTCAAACGCAGTTTGTAAAGTCTCTCTCAGGAGAGGCTATTATTCGATTTTGTGTCATCGACCCTGAGTGCGTGAGCCTCAGACAGGTCCAGGATGAGTTATATAATGTCTTGGCAGGCTCTAGGTCACACAGCGGGGACACAGCGGGGAAAACCACACAGGCTTCTCCTTTAACACACCGGCAAATAAAAAGAGCAAATATGATTCAGTTTCTTTAAAAAATCTGTATTCTATGCAAAAATTAAATGCAAAATATACTTTTGGAGGGCAAGTCACCAAACAGGTAATAAGAGGCTGCTTCTGAGAGGGACCTGGATGGACATCAAGGCATAGTTTCATGTCTATTGTTGCTACATAGTAAGTGTATAAAAGTATTGATCGAAGAAAGAAAAGGAAAGGAAAGGGAAGGGGCGGGAAAGGAAGGAAGGAAAGAAGGGAGGGGGAAAGAGAAAGAAAGAAATGCATTCGTTTGTTGTACGACTGAAGACTATCAGTGGGAGGTGGAGTTAAGCAAGTTGCAATGAGCTGGATAGACATTTGAGAGTTTTGACGATGCTAGCCAAGGTTGAAGTTCAAGGGAGGATATAGTGGGGCTCTTACTTCTTACCTCACATTTTGTTTTCCAGGCTTCCCTCATACCTTGATATGTTCCCTCAATAATACCTCCTTGGTCCCCATGACCTTCAAACTGCGTGTCCCTGGAGATGGTGATGGCCGTAAAAGCATTTCAAGTTGCCAGTATTCAGACTACAAAATGCCGTCTTGGAACAAGGACGAAATACGCATAATGCAACCAAAAGAATTCACCATCACTCCCAGCAGTGGCACCATTCGCCCCCAAGGATTTGCCGCTATCAGGGTAAAGTGCACAGCCTTCAGCACATATGGGCAAGGAGCCAAACTCTCAAATATTTATTAGGGCCACAGCTAAGGTGTGCTTTACATGCCCACCATCAGTGCAAGACAGTGACCCTAATTCACGTGGAAAAGTGGGCCTTTAAGGCAATAAACTACCGGGGCCAAAGCAACCAGATACAAATATATTGGGCCAAAAGAACTGACACTGCCCTAGTGGATTTCCATCAATCTAGATAAACTGCCCTCACCAGAACAATGGATTCTAGCGATTTGTAGTACAACCACTACTCTGTATAGACAGTACACTCATGGGTACAAATAGTAAAAGATTTAAGAATTTATTGATAATTAAGTCCTACTTTCCTTTGGAACCTAATCGTTTATACCAGTAAAGGTCCAGATTTGTGCCCCAGATGATAACCCAGTTTATTCAGATTTTTAATATAAATCTGGGCTTCATGGTGAGTGTAGATGTGAAATTCCTCACAGTGGTTTATATTTAGACCCACGGTGTGATGCTCTGGTAATGGCCACCAGCAGAATTATTTCACAGCTGACTGAGAAAGGTTTTACTGTCCTCCCTCATTGACTTTTGCTTCTCCAAATAGTTGGGTCTAGCATTATTGAAGGCTACTAAATTGAAATTATTTTATCTTTTCTGGGAAAGAAAAAGTAAGATTTCCATAGCTAAGGTTGGTAAATTTCTCTTTGAATATTTAATTCAGCTATGGCCTTATCCCCTCACATTTTAAAAAATGTTTTATAATATCTCACCATGAATCCTTTCATCCTCAATCTTTTCTGGGACTTTTTGGCTCTTCGAAGGGCTTCTCCATGGACCTAATGAAATTTATATTATATATCGTTACAACTTCTCGGGGGTGTGGTACTTAGTTGGCTTGGGCTGCTAATTTTACCAACACTCAAGTCTGAGAGGCTGATAAACAACAGAAATTTATTTCTCACTGTTTGGAGACTGGATGTCTGAGATCAGGGAGACAGAATGGGAGTGTTCTGGTGAAGGACCCCTTCCCGGTTGCAGACTGTTGACTTCCTGTGTCCTTGCATGGTGGGAGGAGCTGGGGAGCTCTGGGGGAGCTTTCTTATAAGAGCTCTACCCTCAAGACCTAATCACCCCCAGTGTCCCCACCTTCTAATTACCATCACACTACAGGTTAGGATTTCAATATAATGAATTTTGTTTGGGGGTGGGGGACGGGGTAGGGAGGACACAACCATTCAGATGATTGCAGTTCCTAGCTGTGACTTTCTCAGGATGAAACGCTGCTGCAAACAGCCTACACATTACCTGCCTTTTCTTTTTGCCTTTCACACATGGCACTGGAAGATTTTAGGAGCCATAGCATCCATCTAGCAGCCTTCTGCCAGAACTTCCTGTTCTTCTGCCTTCTAACCGTAGCTCAGATAGAAACAAGGCCTCCTCACTCCAGGCCCTTCTGCATGTAGGGGCAGCTACTTCTCCCTGAATCTGACAAGTTTCCTTTCCAAATCCATGGCTCCATCTTCTTTTCCCTTGTATATTTGGAAAAGCTTTCTCCAAGCTTCAGCTTTTGCTCCTGAACTATACTTCAGCCGTGTCTGTGTAGACTCGAATTTGCATCCAGTGATTCCCTTTGCAACCAAGAAAAGTTTTAATTAGTCCTTCATACATAATTTATAGGTAGAAAAGCTTTCACTTCTGCCAGAAGCTGTTCTCCCCACTTAGAAGTATCTCTTCCACTACAAATCATCTTTAAGCAATTAAATATTGTGACAAGACTTCAACAGCTTGAATGTAAAATTTCACAATAATAAATAAAAAACATAGGGTAAAATATATATACTGGGCACATGTTGTCCTTGAATAGACCTTTATTTGGAGCTTCCTGTTTTTTGCTCTAATGATGAATATGGAGGGTAAAGGAGGGAGACGAGATTTTGATTTTTCTTTTTTTTTTTTTTTTTTAGATTTTATTTATTTGTCAGAGAGAGAGAGCAAGCACAAGCAGAGGGAGCGGCAGGCAGAAGGAGAAACAGACTCCCCACGAGCAAGGAGCCCAATGCAGGACTTGATCCCAGGACCCTGGGATCAGGATCTGAGCTGAAGGCCGACGCTTAACCAACTAAGCCATTTTGATTTTTCTTAAAAAGAAAATTATCTAGAGGCATCTGGGTGGCTCAGTGGGTTAAAGCCTCTGCCTTTGGCTCAGGTCATGATCTTAGGGTCCTGGGATCGAGCCCCACATCGGGCTCTCTGCTCAGCAGGGAGCCTGCTTCCCCCTCTGTCTCTTCCCGCCTCTCTGCCTACTTGTGATCTCTCTCTCTCTCTCTCTCTGTCAAATAAGTAAATTAAATCTTTTTTAAAAAAAAATGTATAGCTTTAAAAAAATATATTACAAAAAATTATTTAGTTGATTCCTTATGCCATTTTCTGGAACTGACATGGTCATGTTCACTTATTTTTCTCTAAGAGAGACTTAGCTATACTGTTTTATTGGTGTATTGAATTTTCATAATTGACAGAGCCCAGAGGCATAGAGAACAATTTAAATTGAGTGATTAAAATTTGTTTGATATGGCTCATCCTTCAGGGTCATTTTTCCCCTGATGCAAGTGTATGACTTCTTTGATACAGTCTTCTCAGAAATGAGCAAATCTATTGTGCTAAAAGCCATTTGGTTTCTAACCTGGCCTTTGAAAAAACTCAGCAGGCCCTGACCCCGAAATGTAATTTGTTCCACTAAAAATGTAAACGCCATACATCCCATAACAAAGTACTTAGAAGCCGTACTCCATGTGGTCCTCCTCTGTTCCTTTCCCCCCTGCGCAGGGGGAGGGCTGGCCTTGCAGAAGAACCGCTTCTCACCTTTTCCTTTCCAGGTAACCTTATGCTCCAACACTGTGCAGAAATACGAGCTGGCCCTGGTGGTGGACGTGGAGGGCATTGGGGAAGAAGTGCTGGCACTCCTAATTACTGCAAGGTATCCCCCTCACCTGCTTTCTCTCTTCCCCAGTCCCCCTGAGCCACCAGTAATGGGCTGCCTCTCCCAGAGGCAATGCGCCTGCAGTCGGTTCACACTGCATTGGTTCTGCTTTCCTGAGGAAGGAGGCTGAATCTGATATTCAAATGACAAAGCTTTGAAACAGCCAACTGCACCTTTGGTGGAGATCAGAGAAGGGATGTGCATGTGTGTTGCAGGTGTTAAGAATAATAGTGCTTTCTAATGGTCTGACTTTCCCAGTATATAACTAAAAAGGTTTTACCAGAAAGAGGCAAACAGTTGCTGGTTTTTATTTTTATCTTTCAATATAGTACTCCAGGGTTATGCCCAGTCCTGCTGTGAGAGATCCATTTAGTGAGACAGTCCTGCTTCAGGACACCGTTATCACGAGTTAAATGCCACCTGAATGAGGCCCTCTAACCACATCAACTCCTCAGAACCATCCCTACCTTCTCTGTGTTTTAATATAGGCAGCAATGGGCTCTGGGGCCAGGTGAAGATCCTGGCTCTGCCATTTGTCACTTGTGTCTCCTTGACCAAGTTACTGTCTTTTCCAAAGGTTGGAGCATGACACCCAACGATGACGGTCATCCTAAGTAAATAAATAAAATCATAGCCCACACTTTTGCCAAAGCAAACAGGTGTCCATGTCTGAGCCTTTAGGGGGTATGTATGAAAATGCCACCATCTACATGAAATTACTTAGCAAAAACCTGATAACTCATCCATCCCTAGGGTTTAGGCCTCATGAATTGCAGAAGATGTACTGTGAAGGACTTGAAGGTCAAGGCCTTGCTATGGTCTACTTAGTCTTCTTTCCAAAGACCTACCTAATGATTTTGTTTGTTTAAAAATAGCAAAAACTTTCATCTGGTCCTTTCTATACCCAGGTTTACATTTTTGCCTAGTCTTGCATTTCATTTCTTTTCTGTGTGGGTTTATTCTGATACTTCCCTCCTCTCAGCCCCCCTTCCCAGCAGGTATCAATAGCAAATCCTGAATTTTAAAAAAGGGGGGGGGCAGGGGATCTTAAGCAGCTATGAGTTTCCTGCCATATACTCTGTGACCCAAGTCAAATACTGCAAGTCCTACCTATTTCAGGTAGTAAAGCATTAGCTTTATGAAAGTCATCAGGTCAACCGGCAACTCCATTCTAGCTAAAAATGAACACCCATCCCATTCTAAACCTCAAACTTTAGGTTAACAAGACTCTCATGTCATTATTTTTGGTGTAATCTGTAGGAACTGCTTGAAGACCCTCAACAAAAGAATTGCTTTTAGAACTTGCAGAGAGCAGGCAGTGACAGCTTGCTGTGCCCTCTACCACAGGTTAATCATCTCTCACTGAGTGAGCTCTCGCTCAGTGCTCTGGGCACTGTGCTATATTATTCATTCGCAATACCTCCTATATTTCCCTCAACACTCTGAGAAGAGTTCATTATGCTAATGTCAGTCCCTAGAATTACCTTCATTATACCTCTGAGCAAAGTGGGACTCTGGGAGGGAAAGCTACTTGCTCAAGCTTGTACTTGTTAAGGTCAGTATTTGATACTGGCTCTGATTCAGATGCCAGTGCCCCCCACCGTGGCACTGTATTGTCACCACTGTCCATGCCAGTTCTGGGTTGAGCAGCTGTCTGAGCCTACAGCTCCAAGACAGCTGTTCTGCATAGGAATTAGAATTATTACCATAATTTAGATGGTACAGACTGTAGCTAGTCCTTGGAGGACTCTGACTGATCCAAAGTGTCACAGCTAGTTAGGACCCCATGCTGGTGTCATTGGCCCTATTTGACTTGGAAACCCACCCACTACCCTAAGGATCTTGCACTGTGGGGGCACCTTGGGGAAACAAGGCCAAATATGAAAATCAATGGAAATGTTAGTCATTACCCATGGAGGACTGCTGTTTAAGGAGTCCTGCTTCTAGCCCTTTTTTTATTAAAAAAGTGGTGACTGGGGGCTAAGGGATAAGGACAACAGGAGAGGAGATTTGAAAATGATTAATGTAGTCATTAGAGAAAAACTTTGTGACAGTGACAAATGGTGTTTAACTTGGGCCTCAGCCTTCTCCATATGTAAACAAGCTCTCTATCCTTTTGAATTCTTTAATGGCCTCCTTCCTTTGAGCAGGTGTATTGTACCTACCCTCCACATGGTTAACCCAGAGGTGGACTTCGGGCGCTGCTTCCTGAAGTACCCCTACGAGAAAACAGTCCAGCTTGTCAATCAAGATGACCTCCCAGGATGCTATACGGTCCTGCCTCAGGTGAGTTACGTTATCCTTTTCCAGTGTTGATTTTTTTTCAGTTGGATTTTCTTGATGAGAAAGAGAAACCCTTCTAAAGAGCCATGTTCCTGAACACATGACCTTCTGTACTTCCTATTTTTAACCCTGAGAAAATCTGGGCACGGGGTCATAAAGCCGCTGCTGGATTGCCACCCACATGATTAAGCAGCCACAGATGTAAACAGTTATTAATTTCCCAGGTAAATTGCCTTTGATAAAGAAAGGAGAGGGTCAATTAAGCCAACATGAAGAAGTTATACCTGCAAATAATTGCCTATGAATTAAACTAGGAGTTTTCATTTATGGCCATGCCTGTGGCTTGAACAGCATCACTAAGATACAATACTTAGAAGTGGGCTTGTTGAACTAGAAGGCCAGAGTTACTACAAAAAGAAGAAAAAAAAAGGAAATCATCTCCTAATGTTTTATGAAATGGATCTGTCTGCATGCCACAACAACTAGCTAAGTGGGACATGAAGCAATTAAACACATATGAATTAAAGATTCAAAAAGATCTCTACAGATCAAAGAAGTGGAAGGTTACTAATGGGATGCAATTTACCAAGAATGCATTTGTATTTAAAACCCTATTGCTCTGGGATGCCTGGGTGGCTCAGTCGGGTGAGTGGCTGCCTTAGGGTTGGGTCATGATCCCCATGTCCTGGGATCGAGTCCCACATTGGGGGGTCCCTGCACAGCAGGGAGCCTGCTTCTCCCTCTGCCTCTCTGCCTGCCACTCTGCCTGCCTGTGTGCTCTCTCTCTCTGACAAATAAATAAAAATAAAATCTTTTTAAAAAAAACTCTATTGCTCTGTAAGGACAGTACTCTAATAAAAATTCATACAAAAAAAAAAAAAACCCACCCCCAAAAAAACAAATCATATGGGGTTTTTATTTGACTGTAGGCTCAAAATGAGTTCAAAGACAAGTATGGAGGCCATGGAACCAAGACAGGTTAGGCTGTATCAGAGGAACACAGTGGTCGGCTAAAGGAAGAAGATAGCCATTGGTCAAGGCAATGCCAGACTTTGTGTTCCGATCTTGACATCAAAATTTTTAGTGGAAACATAAAAAAAAAAATTATGTGTGGAGTAACCAGGATGGCAATTGACATCATCTGGAAATTCAAGTTCTATGAGAAGCACAGTGTTTAAACAGGAACAGAAAAGACTTTGCTAGGATGAAATAGCCATCTTTTACTAGTTGAAGGGCCATTATGTAAAAGAGGAAATTAGAATTACCCTGTGGACTTCTCTGAGACAAAACCAGAAGCCAAAGGTTGGGTTTGATGAGAGCCAACTTTTCTAACTTTTAGGTGATCAACAATGGAATAGGCTAGCCTTGAGTAGCACACGATCATCTCAAGAACTCAGAGCAGAGCCTGCCCCTGTGGTGATGAGGGAGCTTTTTCTGCACACCTTGGCTGGGAGAAGGGTGAGACACTTGCTTGGAGCACAGAATTTAGAGGGGAGCCCAAAAACATAGCCATCAAGATAAATCATATTTTCATGTTACATTTTAAGAAATCAAAATTAATGCAAAATTAAAACAAAGTATCAAATATTAGATAAAGACAGAATCATCATTGCTGATCTTCCCTTCGGCTTTAGGCACCTGTAAGGCTGGGCAGAGCACTGCCACATTGACCCGCTGAGTTGGATTAGGCCGTGTTAGCCCATTCCAGGTGCACAAAGACCATGGGGGTCTCTGGACAGTTGAAATCTGTATGCTCTGTCTTTTTTATCTAGGAGCTGAAATTTCCCAGAAGTACCCAAATTTATTTGGCCAATGGGATTTTTAAAGTTGTATTTGTTGCTGTTTTTCATAAAAGCTAGTAGGGCACCCGGGTGGCTCAGTCAATTAAGTGGCCAACTCTTGATTTCGGCTCAGGTCATGATCTCTGGGTCCTGGGATCAAGCCCCGTATCTGGCTCCATGCTCAGCAGGGAGTCTTCTGGAGATTCTCTCCCTCTCCTTCTGCCCCTCCCCCTGCTTGCGTTCTCTCTCTCTCTCAAATTAAATAAATCTTTTTTAAAAAACTAGTAATATGTTAAGAGCAGGGTTTTGAAGAACATACAGTGATAAATGCTGGATAACATTTGTTCACTCATTCATTCATTCATTCATTCTTTCACCTACCTATGTTGCCATTTAATAAAACACGGACTGAGCGTATATTCTGGGCCAGGAAATGGGCATGTGTTGCGGAGAGGCCAGGTCGTGCCCTAGGAAGTTGACAGTCCATGCAACAGATGGACACACTGTGGACTAGGGCTGCAGGATGCCCCCTGGTGCCAGAGGAAAAGCCCTGAGTCTAGAGCAGGGTGGGTACCTGCATGTGTTCGGGATGGATGTGCAGGTCAGTCAAAGGGAGGGGGTGTTCTAGGAGGAGTAATACACATGCAGAAGGCTGGAGGTAGGAAGCAGTATCGTGCTCAGGAAGGACCTGAGCCTCTGTTGACAGAGCACAAGGGAAGGAAGTGGTGGGGGATAAAGTATGAACACCTGGAGGACTAGGCCAAGGAATTTGGCTTAGGGACTAATTCACATTGCGGATAATTTCAGCATCTTGCTGGGTTGTGCACTTTGGATTGGGGCCGAATGCACACCCTGCTTCCCTTTAGCAGAATTGTCATCCATGGACTCAGGATGACGCTTGTTTCAAAATAACCTAATATGCTATTTATTTCATACCCTGCCAGGGGCTTGCTTATCCGTCCAGCTTGTCTCTCCCAACAGGTATATGGAGATAAGCCTGCTGTGTTACTCTCCAGTCCCACGCCCTGTGGAGTCATCCCTCCCCACAGCACTGTTCACATACCTCTGGCCTTGGAGACCCAGGTCACTGGGGAATATAGGTCCACAGTCTACATCTCAACTTTTGGGAGCCCGGACCCCCCTATGGTGAGAGCCAGTTTTCAGAATTACAGTTAAAATTTCTGTACTTCTTGCAGACTCCATATTTGTGTATTTTCTGGTTTTGCATTTTCACTCTGCAATAGTAAAATACTAGTGCCATGTTACTCCAGGAATCTACCTTCAGATTCATGTAGACGAAGTACTGTTTTATAACATTTGTCCTTTTTAATTTTTTATTTTGTGTTTTAATTTGTAAACTTTTTTTAGTTTTTCAATTTTATTTTTAAATTATTTTGAATTTTAATTCCAGCATAGTTAACATGCAGTGTTATGTTAGTTTCAGATGTACAATATAGTCCTTCAACAAATCTATATATTATTATTACTCAGTGCTCATCAAGATAAGTGTCCTCTTAATCCCATCACCTATTTCCCCCATCCCGCCTATCCACCTCTCCTTTGTTGTTCTATACAGTTAAAAGTCTGTGTTTTGGTTTTCTCTTTTTTTTTCTCCCTTTGTTTTTTTTTGTTTCTTAAATTCCATATATGCGTGAGATTGTATGTTATTGGTCTGTCTCTGACTGACTTATCTCACTTAACGTTATACTCTCTAGATCCATCCCTGTTGTCGCAAATGGCAAACTGCCTTCTTTTTTATGGCTGAGTAATATTCCATTGTATATACACATCGTGCCTTCTTTATCAGTAGCGTTTGTTCTTAAACTCCTTTTGGGAGTTTCACACACACACACACACACACACACACACACATACACACACACAGAGTGGGGGCCTGGCCCCCCTCCAGAAACTCTGAGGAGAGAGGCTATCTGTGTGTGGATCATCCTCCTCTGTTGTTCCCAGGCAAAGCTGAGTATCCTTCACTGGCTGCACATGGGCTCTGAGCATGATTCCAGACACTGCCCACTGGATCTTTTCCTGTATTTTGACTGGACTCATAGGCCAAATGAACCAACTAAAGCTGTGGGAAGAGGGAGATATGGAAAGTTATCTGCTGCTTGAGCTGAATCAAAGGATACATCTTGAACTTTGAAGTTGCCCAACAGGCTATGAATCCCTAGACATTTGGTTTAGTTGGGAGCTGGGCGATGTGGGTGTACATTTATTTGAAGTGATTCTGAATGCTTAGAGAGTAAATTAGGGTTTTGCTTTTATCTCTTCATGTAAGATGCCATAGATAAGCCACCTCACAAAGGCAGGCCCATGGGAAAGCTGCCCCTGGTCCAGGCACCCCGCCCTGCACAGATGCAGCCCATGACGAGGTCCCGTGCTAAGCAGGCAGCACTGTATGAAAGAAGAAGGCCCCCCCTTCCTCAGGCAGATACAATGTCTGGATGGAGACACAGGGCTAGCGGGAGCAGAACAAGGTGGCTTTCAGTCCCCAGAATGCACAGCTGTATATAGCGGACAGCCCTGTTGTTTCCTCTCAGTGTGCGCTTGGGCTGGCCAAGCAAGCCAATCATCCCTTCTGGGGAGGAATTCCAGGCTGGGTTCATGGGTCTGACCAGCATGGCCATCTCTGTGTCCCTCTGACCACAGAGGACAGAGGGAAGGAATGACAGTTCTCATAAGCACCCTTTAGTGCCCCTACTCTCTATAAAAGGAGTGAAACCATCTCCAAGGCCAGCCATGTTTCAGCTCTTCTTCTGTTTTTTTCTCTTGCGTGGAACGCAGGTCTGTCGCATAAAGAGCATCGGAGAAGGCCCAGTTATCTATGTACATCCCACTCAAGTTGATTTTGGCAGTATCTACGTCCTAAAGGACTCCTCAAGGGTTCTCAACCTGTCTAACCAGTCCTTCATCCCTGCGTTATTTCAGGCACGCATGGTGAGTAGATGGCAGGCCATCGTGGGGTGAAAACAGAGCTTTGCTCTTACCTTATATGCAGCGGTCCTGTTTTTACAAAATGCCTTTGAAAACGGTCAACAGAAGCAGAGATTTCTATGGTTTGACTACGTTAAGCTCTGTCATTCTCATCCTCAGTTCCTCTCTATTACAATCCCTTTGTTGACTAGGAAACACAATGTGCATACAGTTTAGTAAACAAGCAAATATATTTAGTGTAATGTTGGCAGGATGCTTGCAAGACCTTCTTACTGAACTATACCTAAGCCACTCCCCCACCTCTGGAAAACACCTCTTAAATGTCCCTGTAACTGAAAAATGCCTTTTTATATTTAATTTGAACCCTTTTGGTCACAAATATGTTACTATGCTAATTCTAGTTTTATCCTCTCTTCCTTTTAACAATATTTTGATGTAATTTATAAAGATACTTAAAGTATAACAAGATATTTGCCAAAAGTTGAACTTAAAGGAAACTAAAACAAGGATTGATATAAAAAAAGATATGTAATAATTCTAGAAATGAGTTTGTCCTATGTCTATGTATTTTATGATATATACACCTGCTAGTCTTCTATAAATTCATTTTTAAAAGATAATACCAATTTTTACAGAATTTAGAAACTTCTCATCCAGCAACTGAAAATATTTTTGATTTTAGAAAAAATTTTCTAAATTTAAACATAAAATATTAAATGGTATAGCCCTCATCCTTTCCCCAACTTATTGATATTTGAATGAATGCTAACATTTGGTTTCAGTATTTGTCAGATATTTCTGAAAAATTATATTAATTTTCTAAAAGTCACCATTAGAAGGAACAGGATCATGGCTTTCTGCTGACTTGTCACAGCTCCTCAGAGCCATTGGTCCCAATAAACATTCATTCATCATTACTATTATTCCTTCTTATTATCAGTTGTCATTAGTTCTTATAAAGGCCGCCATTTCCTGCATAGTCACTGCTCTTTGCAACCTGAGGTTCAGACACAACCCCACCCTTGTCCAAGTGCCTTGTGGGTCTTGTGTGGAAAATAATGTCTAATAATGCTGAAAGAAAAATCCTACATAAAAGATGCCTCGGCTAGTCTTCATCCCGTGAATTAGTTGATGTGTTTGGTGGAAAGCAAGGGGTATTGCTAGGAAGTGTTGCTTGTGGCCCGGCTTTGTGTGTGCAGAGTTCACAGTGGAGGAGGCACAGAGGCAGCCGAGCTGTCAAGGACACTGAGAGGTTGCCCGGGAGGGTCCAAGCAGATTACAGAGGAGGAGATGAGCAGAAACCACCAGAACACTTAGGTACCAGGGTAGCACCTGCCACTTGGTTAAATTCTCAGGTCGTTCCAGATTTCGCTTTTTGACACACGTTAAAAAACAAAAAAACACACCAAGGATCTATGGGTTTTTATTAATATAGTATATATATAGAATGACCCAGCTGGTTGTTAAAACGGGACTTTTTCTTTTCCACAAAGGATTCGTGATTCCATCTTTTGATCTTTAGTGTCCTCTTAAGTCAGCAAGCTCCAGTTCCAAGCAGCCAAATGTGTGATGTAAGCAATGGGTTGTAGACTCTGTTTCCCTGCACATCCGCTCTTGGAAAACTGGTGATGTTGAGCTGATTGTCCTTCCAGCATAAGAGTAGTTTCAACTGTAATTCTCATGAGTGAACAGTTCACTTCTTTCATATTTCAGCTGGAATTTTGATGGCTATCCTAGTAAATAAATACTAACGTGTCTTAATATTTCAGGAATTGAATGACACTAACTGGGACATTAACTACAGTGGGAAGAAATAGAAATACCATTTACTATATTTTGAAATTGTTTTACGGTGCTGAACCTGCAAATTCATTCTCATAGAAATTGCCAGGCATTAGGAAAAAAGATTCTATTAATAGTTTTTTTTTCCCCTAACTAAGCCAAGAGCTCAGTACCCAGGCTACTGGTGGTCATATATTTGTTGCATTTCCTTTCTCACTCAGAGAGAAGCAGGGCAAGGACACACTCTTCACTTCTTCCAGGATTAGTAAGGATTCAGGTCTGAAAGTGCTCCCTCTCTTCCTGCTGGATGCCCTGACAGGCGGGCTCATCCTCTCTCCTCTCTTGGCTGTCAGAAAATGTCAGCCCTCCCCTCATGTGGCTCCCACTGTCAGCCGCTTGCCACGCTCAGTCTTGTGCGTGGCCTGCAGTCACAGCAACCACTGTGATTACATTCTCTCTTGCTTAGCAAGAGACCTGTGTTTGTCATCAACTGGAGGGGCAGGAGATAGGAAGCTGGAAGCCCACCTTCACCATGCTGTTGGGAAATAAATTGGACTTGGAGTAATTTTGAATTTCTCCAAAATAAATGCTGTATTAAAAAGTGATTAAAACCCCTGAAACTTCTTAGTATAATATAGAGTGAAGAAACGGTGAAGATTTTATCTTTTCTGTTTCAGTAAAGCTTAACTTGTCCTGAGTCTAAAAAAAAATGATTAGTAAAAGCAGAGAGTTGTGTGATTCAGAGCCATAAGTTCTCCTTTGCTTTGGAATGCTTGAAATACCAGCCTCCCCTAGCGGTTCCCTATGGCTGATTTATTTGGATTTAAGATGAAAGACTCAAAACAATGGAGTAAGTCACCTCTGGTTTGGAGGTTAAAAATATCAAAGTGTGAGAGCAGAGCAGAGAAAGGCCATTTTGGCAAGAGTATGTGGGCTCTGCTTCACACATAGCACTCCTCTCTTCTCTCTGGGTGACAGCAGAAATAAGGCAAGGATATGGTAGTTCTCTGGGCCCTAGGACTTCAGCATCAGGCTGGAAGATAGACATCTTCTTTCATGGGTGCCCCTTGCTAAGCAAAGAATATGCATTGCCCAGCACTTGTTCAGAAACATCTGGAATCTATTCAACCTAAGGGAACAATTAGCTCGAGAACTTGCATGCAGATGTCAGTGACATGTTGGGATTCAGCTGGCACTAAAGCATTTTGCATGGGCTTTCTGTCTCCGTGATCTGTGGGAGAGGCCATTACAGTTAGACCTTTAGAGTTTCCAGGATCCAGGAAATGAGAATACTGATGCTTCATTCAAGCTTGGCTCCTTTTAAGCATTTATTTACTTTGTCACTTGCCAAGCCATACACAGTGATAACAGCATTCAGGGAATTATTGGGATTTCACATCTTCAGGCCCTAAGCCATTGGGTCCTTTCCTTATCTAGGTAGGGACACCCTCTTTATATTTACTTTTTTGTCTGCTTGTCTCCTTCAAATGATGAGTGTCTCTTATCTGAATTCCCAGCACCTGGCAACAGGCTTGGAATTATGATGATGACAATACTATGGCATTAATTGTAACTAATGGTTATTTAGTTCTATTTGCCACTTTATGTACAGTATTTTACTTACTGTAACCTGTGAAAGAAATATTGTTATAATGCCCATTTGAATGAGGTAGAAGCAGAGGTACAGAAAGGTTCAATAAATTGCCATAACCTGTAAGTGGCACAGCCTGGTTCCCAGGACTAGTGGTCTGACTTCAGACTCATACTCTTTTCTACTGTACTGCCTAACTTTGCCCAATCAGTGGTTATCCAAAAGGATGTGAAAATGGGGAAAGGATTTTGGTTTCATGTCCATGAAAGACCCTTACAGGTAGACATGCCTAGAAGAACAGATTTTTCTAAAAAGTTGGGGGAAGAAATTAAGGAGTGTCTCTGAAGTAAACTATATTAAGAAATGAAGTGTATGATATAGTGTCATACTTAAAGGGTCCATCCAACAAGATTATCTAATGATTGTAAATATTCATGTCCCCAACATGGGAGCAGCCAACTATAAAACCAATTAATAGCCAAAGTAAAGAAACACATTGATAATAATACATTAATAGTAGGGAACTTTACTCATAGCAATGGACAGATCATCTAAGCAGAAGATCAACAAAGAAACAAGGGGCTTTGAATGACATAATGGACCAGATGGACTTCACAGATATATAGAACATTCCATCCTAAAACAACAGAGTAATCATTATTCTCAAGTGCACATAGAACTTTCTCCAGAATAGATCACATACTATGTCACAAATCAGGTCTCAACTGATATCAAAAGATTGGAATTATTCTCTGCATATTTTCAGTTAAAACTTGAACTTAATCCCAAGAGGAAATTTGGAAGGAGCTCAAAACACTTGTAGGTTAAAGAGCATCCTAGTAAAAAATGAATGGGTCAACCAGGAAATTAAAGAATTTAAAAATTTCTTTAAAAAATTCATGGAAACTAATAAGAATGAAAACACATCTGTTCAGAACCTTTGGGATACGACAAAAGTGGTCCTAAGAGGGAAGAACATTGCAATACAAAAAAAAGACCTCTCTCAAAAAATTAGAAAAATCTTAAATATACAAGCTAACTTTATATCTAAAGGAGCTGGAGAAAGAACAGCAAATAAAACCTAAACCAAGCAGAAGAGAAATAATAAAGATTAGATCAGAAATCATTAACTAGAAACCAGAAGAACAGTAAAACAGATAAATGAAGCTAGAAGTTTGTTCTTTGAAAGAGTTAATATGATAGATAAACTTCTAACCAATCCTATCCAAAAGAAAAGAGAAAGGACCCAAATTAATAAAATCATGAATAAAAGGGAAGAGATCATGATTAACACCAAGGAAATAGAAATTATTAGTAGTAATTATTACCAGCAACTCTATGCCAACAAATTAAGCAATCTGGAAGAAATGAATGCATTCCTGGAAACTGATAAACTACCAAGACTGAAACAGGAAGAAATAGATCATCTGAATAGACTAATAACCAGCTAGGAAAACGAAGCAGTAATCAAAAACCTCCCAAAAAACAAGAGCCCAGGCCCAGATGACTTCCCAGGGGAATTCTACCAAACATTTCAAGAAGAAATCATACCTATTTTACTGAAGCTGTTTCAAAAAAATAGAAATAGAAGGGAAATTTCCAAACTCATTCTATGAGGCCAGCCATTACC